GGCTTATGTCGCACGACAATCAGTATTAGAACCCCACCTAGATGATCCTTCAAAATGGAAAAAGAATTGCAGAATTTCGGCCAAAATTTCATGAGATCGGTCACACACTGTACATGGATGCACAAGAAAAAAGGTTCTCTGTAATATTACACTGATCCTGCGCAGACCTTCGGCTACAACGCTGCGCCTATCACAGTCTGGTTTTCGGCTAATAACGACTATGCAAACCGGCCAGTCAACTTCAAGTCCGAACCAGGCATGATCTCGGTCTGACACCTGTTACAGGGACGCTCAGCAATCTAGTCTGCGGCTTCAGACATGTGCGTTCGTTCGCCTGCCAACTTGATCCAACCTATTCAATGCTCCTTCTACTGAAGCCCAAATTGTATTCTTGCTAATCTGGATTTGGCCTGAAATTAGCATCGGTTACGGTCTGCTTGTGGGTCTAGCTACCTCGACCGGTTTGTAACTTCGATATGAGTTCAAAAACTCCGGCTTGCTAACAAAAGGTCAGCGACATAATTTCTCCAGGCTTTACAAAAGTGCAGAGAAAACTTGCGCACCTATAAAAGGACACTTAAGCAAAGAAGAAGACTTTTCAAGCACCGGAAGAGTTTATTTACTTTTCTGGGCTTTCGAAGTCCGTAAGTGGTAGTAAAAACATCAGAACGAGCGACAGTTATAGGAAGTGGTAGCCAGTTATTGATCGATGACGCCAAACTGGAGGTGACTGCGTAAGGCTCTGTACGCCGGCGCCTACGTTCCCCCCAGAGCACCCAGAGTGCAACAGAACCAAGGATATAGCATTCTGTATCACACATTACGGCCATTTCAGAAACAACCGAGTGCACTAATGCGGAACTAAGTGTAAGACTTGCACGTCGACCCAAAGCCACTATGCGCAACAAAGTAACGGAAATTAAGGACCGACTAGATTCCGAGGAGCAATATGGGGTAGCATATTACATCTCGTGTCAAAACCGTACTTGATGGTACATAGGCCAGACTGATCGCTTCTTCGGATCGCGCATAAACAGACATGAGCTGGATGTGTGACAAATTATCGCAAGTGGCTGCCCAAACCTGCGAAATGGGTCATGAGTTTAACTTTACCTCCCTCAAAACAATCGTCGACAACCAAAACAAAGCAGGTCGAAAATTTATTGAAGCCTGGGTCTCCAATATGAACAGAGTCAATCGGTTAGTCTATCTGACTCCAGCGTACACGGACCTGCGCAGTCACCTCCTGTCTCGTGTCATCGATCGATAACTAGTTAGCCTCCCCATTATCGCCGCTCGTTTTGTTGTTGCTACTATCTCCGGTGATGGACGGACTACTGGGCGAGTTCGAAAGCTCGTAGCAATAAACACAGTCCTCCGGTGCTCGATCAGTCTTCTTTACTTAGCAACGTCTTTACTTATAGATACACCTGGAGCTCTAACTTTCACATTCATTCGTAGGAAACACATCTATACTGCCTTCCATATCACTTACAGAAACACGATCACGAGTTTATTTAGGCTCCACGACGATACGGGGGAGCAGTTGGCCAGGTGGCGGCTCCACCTTGGCAAAGCGTTCCAGACTTATTGGTGGGGGCGTCGTTGAACTCGCTATGCAGAGAGACAGCAGATGCTCTTGCAGGTGGGGGTGAAAGGTTTTCCGGTGTATTAAGGAAGGTATTGATCATCGACATATTGTAACCACAGCTGACGGGCGGTTTGGGCTAAGATCGATGTATCCAGCGGAGAAAATCAGTGTCGAAAACGCGTACCGGTCTCCAGGTGAGACCCGTTTGTCGACGTCCTCGTGTTGCTGAGTTCTGCAAAGGCGGGGTTTAGATGTTTCTCATTGGCATGCATTAAGTGGCTTTAAAGACGCGCTTTGTGAACGACAAGAGAGTCTGCTATGTCATTGTTAGCGAATCACGGCTCACGCAGCCTGGTGTACGCTGGCAGTTCTCCGGTACCTGATTCTTTGGCGGTAGATGCGCTTAAGTTCACGCTGGGTGGACAGATCGTGTGCCTAGCTGTCCCGTTATGCACTTCTGTTGTTGTTTTTGGTCAAAGTCCTGGTCAAGTGTTTTTTGTAGACCAGGATGTGTGTGGTGGGACGCCAATGTGCATATGCTGCCGCGCCATCCATCCGCGCCCTCCCCGCCTCCGGTCCTCTTCATTCTGTCATGCCGGGTCCTATTTGAACCACATCTGTCAGAATGCTTCAGCCATGTGCACCTGGATGTCGTAGGCCCCTTGCCCCCGTCCACTAGTTTCACCCACCTCCTTACCTGTGTCGATTGGTACACCCGCTGGACTGAAGTCATTCCTTTGCCGAATGCGCAGGCTGAAACCATCGTAGAGGCCATCGTCAGTCGTTGGGTCGCCATGTTCGGTGCCCCGTACACGGGTTACGACTGACCATGGTGCTGAGTTTGCGTCTGTACTCTTCTTAATACCACTCAATTTTCTTGGCTGCACACGCATTCGGACGACAGCCTAACACCCGGCTGCCAACGGTATGGTTGAGCGTCTCCATCGCTAACTAAAGACCGCCCTGCGTGCCGTAGAAAAGCCAGGAAACTGGCCTGACCACCTTCCTCTTGCATTCCTCGGCGTCCGCGTAGCTCTGAAGTCGGATCTGGGCTGTAGTGCAGCTGAATTGGTTTCCGGCACTACCCTCGGACTGCCAGGCGAGATAGTTACCCCAAGCTATCGTGGGGCCAACGAGACTCCCGACAACATTGTGCACCGTCTGCGGCAATTTATGCGCTCGCTTCCCCCAGTTCCACCTAGCACTCCGACTGGGTCTTGTGTCGAAAAAGACTTCAACAATTGCACTCATGTGTTCGTCCGGTGTGACCGTGTGCGCCAGCCGCTGAAATCTCCATACGAAGGACCGTTCCGCATGTCGCTCGCAACACCAAGTCCTGCCGGAGGACGCGGTCAGTGTCGATCGGGTCAAGACTGCTGTTGCAGAGGAGCCACCGGACCTGTCACAAGCACAAAAACCTGCTGAACCCCAAACCCCTTTTTCCTCCATCTTCACTGTTCCCTGCTCATTCAACTCGCCCACTCCCTCCCTATGCCCCTCCGTTGACCTCTACCCCTCCGTCCCGCATACTTCCTCTCCCTACATGTCTACAGCATCCAACTACAACATCATCCTCAACCATAGCACGCAGCAAACCCTCACCGACTGTACCTCCTGCGTACATCACTTGCAATGGCGTCACGTTCATTTCCCCGATCGTTTAGTTACGCATTTTTCTAGACTTATGCATATCCTCCGGCGCCGTATTACGTCGCCCTCCGGTCTAGTAGGGCGGTACCGGATTAATTTACGTTTGACAATTTGGTCCCGCTTTCTTTACCCGGATTGCTTGTTTGAATGTGACTAAAAACAAAACACCTGAACAGCCCGTTTTGCTGGCCTGCTTTGCTGTCGCTCTCTGTTGTCAGGTTACTTAACGTTCAGAATTTCTATATTATTCAACGGGTCGGTTTTTACTTGCTGCTTTTAATGCTAAGGGCTCGTGAGACATAAATTGTTAGTTCGTGAGAACGTTGCCATTTACGTCAGATGCGGTTGAGTTCCCGCTGAGTGGACAGGTCGTTTGCCCGGCCGTCCAGTTAGCCACGTCCTTTCTGCTGTTGTTGTTGCTGGTCAAAATCCTGGTCAAGTGTTTGTTGTGGACCAGGAGGTGTGGGGTGGGACGCCAGGGTGCGGGCGCAGCCGCGCCATCCATCCGCGCCCCGTACTCGAGACTGAACGATACAGATTGCCTGCACCGCTAAAAACAAGGCATCATAACCATTCTGTTCAAACAGAGTCGATCTATGTCTGTGGTGATGTTTCATGACTACTCTGTTTTGATTTGGAGCAGTATTTCCCCGGTATGAGTTTGAAACAGGCATACACAGCAGTATTAGAACCAGTAAATTTCGTAACGGCTTATCAGCTGCAGCCTGTCGCCATCGCATCACAAAGAAAAAGATATGGAGGTTTGAATTTCCACAGAAATATATACCATATTCGACATTTTTGCGTCCTTCACATAGATGTTAGTGTGGACCAGAGGGAGAGGGGTGGGACGCCAAGGTGCGGGCACGACCGTGCCATCCACCTGCACCCTCTCCCGCCCTCGGTCTTCTTGACTCTGTCTTGACACCGGGTCCAGATGGGGAGTGGGGAAGAGAGAGTGCGGTGGATGCTGCGAAAGTCTGCTGCCGCTAAAAACTAACTCGCGCGCAAGCTACCGTGCCTTCTGTACCTTACTGTGGAGCACACAATGGACATCGTCGGGCACGACGGGCCAATCGTCATTTGTTTCAATCCCACAGTTTCTGGTATGCCGCGAAACCTAGGGAGAAATAGGCTAGTCTCCGCGGGAGAGAAAAACCGTTCCACACGCAAACTTTTGAGACAATTTAAGCAACTGGGTCGCCAAAGGCTTCAGAACGAGGCATCTGAAACTCGACTTTTACCTAACTCTATCAAAACCGCTTCATCAGTCCCAACATCATTCAGATGAGCGCTGCGATAGGGGAAGCACAACATCACAGAGACTGACATCCACCCAGATAGCCTGATTATGCACGAATGCGTCGTACGCGAAGACCCCCACCCACACAGATGACACTGTATATGTATATTTATAGACCTTAACGATAGACAGGAGAGAAATGGTGTGTCCATCGGCTGGTAGGAAGAATGCATAAAGAAAATAGAACTTAATCAAAACACACGTGTATACGCACGCGCGCGCGCTAGTGCAGCTCGTCTTGCTCCGAACGAACGTACAGACTGAAAAGCAAAAAAAGGAGCAAAGTCTGTGTGGCGCCCCCAAGGACGCGGGCGTCGGACGGAAAGACATATGTGGAGGAGGGAGGGGGGGGGGAGGGCATATGCGTGCACAGCGGACTGGGGGAATGGTTGTTTATCTGAGACTATGAAAGAAAAGAAAAAGAGGGCGGGGGAAGAGGGGAGACGGACAACATGGTCAGCTGTCAGCTAGGAGGGGGACGCTCTGGGGTTGGCGCACAACACTGGCGGGAGACCGGCGTCTCAGGAAGACAGGTTCCATACTGGAGACGACCCGACGGACCGGCCTCGACAGTTCATGGGACGAGGGGTTATCTTCCTGCATCCGCAGGGGGAGATCAGCGATGGGATGAAGGACAGGAACGGTTGCCCTGGGCGGCTCGTCCTCGCTTGGAGGCGGCGCCTTGTGAATCCAGCTGTCATCGGGACGTACGCGCAGGATCAGCGAGGTGGAACGGTTGCAGGCACCGGAGACTGTCTCGGCGCCAGCAGCCTGCACGAGGGAGGAGGAGCCGCTCTCCATGGTCTCGGGAACTGATCTGCAGGAAAGGCGTTTTCGGTGGAGGTAGTCTTCAGGGCTGAGATCATCGGCGCAGCTGAGTGGCTGTGGTTTTGGGACCTCCAGTTCAACTGGAGGGCGGAGAGGCTGATGAGGGAGACTAGATGAGGGAGCGCAGTTGGGAGAAGACTGTTCCTCTTGTGCAGGTTCCGCCTCTCTACAGCCGCCTGAGCGGCTACACCGCAGAGTCGGCACAGATTTAGAGGCTTCAACAGTGGCATCTGAAAGCAAAGGAAAAAAAGGGGGGAGGGAGGTGCTTAACGCGTCTGAAATATGTTTTAAAACATGATGGCTGTAGCGTCAAAAATGACGACGCTCAACACTGATGGTTTGCACGCGTACTTGCTCGCAGTGAGACGGAACTGCACGGCAAATATTCCAGCCGCCAGATCTCAATAGCTGGCAACTGAAGACGGGTGTAAGGCGCAGCGGCTTGCAGGACAGAGGGCACCACACAATGTTAGGGGGCGCCCCCTAACACTGTATATTCCCGATCGAAAACCGACAAGGCAACGGGCTCGTGGCCCGGTGGGTAGAGGCGTGGACTTCTAAACCAATAGGTCGCGAGTTCGAGGCTCGGGTGTTACACACTTCGGGCTTGGGTATGGCTGGCTGACGACGGCTAATAAGCCAGAAATGGCCATTCCAGTCTCCCTTGTCTTTGTCGGTAATAGCATTCGGCACCACACAAGTTATGTTCGGCTTGACTCTCAATCCCCAGCCGGGGCGAGTTATGTCGTCAGCTGGTAATTCTTCGAGTCATGCGTTTATAATGTTTACAGCTGCGTAATCAAGCGTTGGAACTTACGGTGAGTGACCGATCTCATGAAATGTTGGCTGAAATTCTGAAATGCGTTGTCGATTAGGAAGGATTACTTGGTCGCGGTTGTAATACTGATTATCTTGCGGCATAATCTGATAACATTTCGGACTCGGCAGGATGTCAGCTTTTGAATACAATGCTTTTCGATCTCCTGTAGAAACCGTGCCCAATAAAAAGTGACTACTTAAGTAGCGTGCATTTTTCCCATTGATTTTCGATGGTCTTGCAAATTCAAATATATCTTATAGAAACCATAAACAAAAGCATGCTTTCTTTCAGTCAATTAATAGACAATCACGTCTTCTTTATATTTTATAGTCAAGGAAGGGGCATAATCAGGTTTTAAAAAAGTCGCTAATTATGGGATTTCTTAAGACCTCCCAATGCCCATCCACATAGCATCGTACGTCGCCGTTTACGTCGGCTCCTCATGAAATGTACAACATAGTCGGCATTCATTGATGAATTTTATAGACTCTGTATAATATCTTTTTAATGGCACACAAAATATGTGATTTTCTTTACGCGGAACGCATGCACTTTGCAGACTGAAATCGATAGGCGTTAGTGCAACGAATGATCTGGCTCCAAATTATTCGACAACTAGTAAACTTTTTTGTAGCCTAATTATACTCCTTCCTTGAGTATAAAATATAAGGAAGACGTGATTGTCTATCAATTAACTGAAAGAAAGCATATCTTTGTTTGTGGTTTCTATAAGATATATTTGAATTTACAAGACCACAGAAAATTAATAGGGAAAATGCATGCTGCATAAGTAGTCACTTTTTACTGGGCACGGTTTCTACAGGAGATCGAAAAGCAGTGTATTCAACAGCTGACATCCTGCTGAGTCCGAAATGTTATCAGATTATGCCGCAGAATAATCAGTATTACAACTGCGCCCCAGTTATCCTTCCTAATCGAAAACGCATTTCAGAATTTCAGCCAACATTTCATGTGATCGGTCACTCATTGTAACTGAGACGAAATCACTCTCACTTCCATCTCCCATACCAACAGAAAGCCCAGGTCGCCCGCGGCCCGAAAGTTTCATTGATTTGTTGTGAGAGTCTCTCGCTGGCACAGTTTTTGCGAGCATCGACCACGTGGATGAAATCGCATTCCTGGCAAGTTTCCTCACAGAAATGTAGTACGCCGTACGCCAGGTAGGCGGAACAACTGCCGAAGTGGGGCTTCAAAATATGCAATACCAAGACCTCTGTCCGGTTATGGTAGATGGTGAAGCTTTAAGCCACACGCCGAGTCTGCTGACAATTGACCGCGATTGAGGGCGAACCCATAGTGTGGAGTCGCCTAAATCCCGTGAGGAAAACGGTGGGAACGCACAGATACAGAGGGGTGAACTGGCGTTAACGTGGATGTCGCTGCCTCGAATGTTTAACTTGTTGTGGTGGGGAGTACCCGATGTGCCAGAAGTCTCACACAGGCCAGGGAAAGTTTCTGGTCAAGACTACGAGCAGCAAATTCCCAGGAGAATTCTGAGAAGTTATTTAGGAAGAATTGGCTTGACGTGTTAACAGCTGCGATTACACACGTACACACACACACACACACTCAGGAAAGATCGAAGCGATACGCACGCAGGTGACAAGTGTATGGGGATGTAGGCGACAGAACCAATCAGGTCTCCCCTGACAGCACTCCAGGGTAGAATATAACCAGCAACTTTATGTAGCTCCATTGAGATGTGCGGCGAACATTAGTGCGAATAGAGGGGGGGGGGGTGCGGGAGGGAATGGTTAGTCTTCTGATGACTCACTCGTTCAGTCTTCATCAGTAACAGGATTAACAGACCTGGGTGTGTTTTGGTTCGAGAGAAAAAAATCCCTTGAGAAGAATTGACTGTCGAACATTTGAAAGCCGAAAGGCACCATGATTATCAGTGAAAAGAGTGACACTAAGAAGGCGGGTAAAGGGTTCGACATGAGACAGTATTCACAGGAGATGACAAGGGTGGTACGCTTCTTCGGGAATTAGTATAGCATACCTCATAAAATTTTAGCCGAAATCCCCGCGAAGAATTGCTTGGTCAGGTTTATAGTACTGATTATCGCGCAGCATAACCCCTAAGATATCGGCTCTTAAATGCACTTCAACCGGCAGCCTGCAAAAATCAGTTACTTCAATGACTACTTAAGTAGTACAAAATTTTCCATCGACATCCGACGCCTCTAGAGGTTGAAATATATTTCACAGGAATTTCGCATAAAAAATATCCCTTCGTTAGAATGTAGTACCTTCTTTGAATTCCTAATTCGATGAGTGGATCTTTCAGTTTCGAAAAGGCTTTACAATTCCCCAATAATTTGGAACTCCACCTGCCGCTGCTCTCGCACTGACAAAACGCAGGCTGTATACTTTCCATGTGGGGAAAGTCATACAGTCCTCCGTGTCATTAAGGAGGTACCACATAGGGTTCATTAAATTACGAAATGGGTGTGGAGTTGTATATGCATGCGAAGTGCTCGATGAATGCCTTCGATTACCATCTACTAAAGACAACCCTAGAAGCTCTACTCACGCAAAATGTCCTGTTTCCAAATAGAGCTCGTGGAGGGCAACAGGCCAGGTGTCTGGACCTCGTTTTTACCACAGATCCTGACAGTATAGACGAGGTGTACTACCTAGCCCCGCTCGGTCGAAGTGATCATGTAGTGCTTTTATGGGAGTACTTGCTGTATTCTGAACCGTGTACAAAAGACAATACGAGGCCAAATATATGGAAAGGGGACTTTCGCCAAATCAGAGCTGATGCACCACAAATAGACTGGGATGTTCTCCTCTCCGGAAACGTTAACGAGGACTGGAATTTATTCAAGGATCGTTTACTGCGTCTAATGAAGAACCACTGTCCCTTATCAAAGCCTAGGACATCCAACCGCCCTCAGTGGCTAACACGAGAACTCAAAAGGGAGATCAACAAGAAAGGAAGGTTATGGAAGAAATTTCGCGAGAACAACAACAATGCAGCGTTTACAGAATACAATGCTCACAGAAATAAGGTGAAAAGTCTGATTTTCAGGAGGCGACGGGATTTCGAGAGTACTTTGCTCCACCGAGCCGTTAAAAATCCGAAATTGCTCTACAGCTATTTGCGGAAAAGCACGCGTCACAGGAATCCCATTCCTGTTATGAGGGGTGATGACGGCTTGGAGATATCGGACAGGGCAAATAAGGCTGAGCACCTTTCTCAATTTTTCCGATCCGTTTTCACAAGAGAAGCAGACTTTACCCCATCTAATTCTGAGAACATGAGAGATCCCACTATCGAAAATACTATGTTTCGAGAAGAAGCGATTTTGGAAGAACTGAAAAACTTGAAGGAATGTAAATCTCCCGGTCCAGACGAGATCCCAGCAAAGCTGCTCTTTGAGCTTGCCCAACAGCTGGCCAAGCCATTATCCTTTCTGTGCCAGAAATCGTTTGATGTTGGAATTCTTCCCACAGACTGGAAGACGGCCCACATTACACCCCTTTACAAAAGCGGTAGTCGTGCTCAGGCGACAAACTACAGACCTGTCAGTCTGACATCAATCTGCTGCAAAGTGATGGAGAAAACCATCAAAAAGGAGTTGATGGCTTACTTGGAAACCCCACAACCTCTTGTCCAATATGGTTTCCGTAGGGGAAGATCATGTGTTACGAACTTGCTATACACAATGCAAAGTTGGACACGAGCACTGGACGCACAACACACCGTGCATGTTGCCTATATTGATTTTCGGAAGGCGTTTGAGAGTGTTCCGCACCAGCGTCTCCTACACAAGTTGAGAATTATGGGCATCGGTGGCAAACTTCTCAAATGGATCGAAAATTTCCTTGTCGGCCGCTCCCAAATTGTCTGCGTAGAGCAACAGCAATCAAGGTGCAAATTCATAGAGAGTGGGGTCCCACAAGGCTCGGTGCTCGGACAACCCTCTTTCTCTTGTTCATCAATGATTGTGTAGATGGTTTGGACTGTGATTGTGCCATGTTTGCGGACGACATAAAAATCTGGAAAGTCATTCAGAATGCTGTCGATGAGACCAACTTCCAAGAAAATCTTTGTCGATTGGACGAGTGGTCCCGCAGATGGCTCTTGTCCTTCAATTTGAACAAATGCACCATATTTCGCCTCAGAAATCAGACCCCTAGAACGCGGTAATACCATCTGAACGGAATGCCACTCCGAGAAGCAGAAACTCAGAAAGATCTCGGAGTTTAGGTTGCAGACAGCCTTAAGCCTTCTACACAATGCTGTAAGGCGGTCAAGGCCGCAACGTCAATGCTATATGCCATCAAGCGGGCATTCGTAGTTTTCGATGAAGACTGCTTCACCAAAGTCTTCGGCAAGTTTATAAGGCCCCATCTCGAATATGCAATTCAGGCCTGGAGACCGTGGACGCATCAGGATTACGATCTGCTCGAAAGGGTGCAGAGACGAGCAACAAAATTAATAAGAGGTCAAAGTACACTGCCATACGAGATCCGCTTAACTAACCTTAATCTCTATCCTCTGAGTTATAGGCAGTTGCGCGGAGACATGATACCAACGTGCCGTATCGTGCGCGGCTTGGATTGTGCCCTTCGGCGCGATGACTTTTTCCAACTCGCCACTACAACTCACCTCCGGGGACATCCCTTCAAGCTACGTGTGCCACAGGGTAGACTGAATGTAAGAAACTATTTCTTCTCCAACCGTGTCGTGGAACCGTGGAATAATCTGCCCGAGACGGTTGTTATGTCTCAATTTGTGGAGACATTTAAATGTCGCCTTGACAGATATATGCTGCAGCAACAAGCGGACTATGTGACTTTTTAGCCATGTGACCAGTGACATATGTGAATCAATGTATGCATTCATATAATGCTGTAATTTCTTCACATTTTTGCATGTTTATCGATTTTTTTATGTACAAATAGGGAGTTCAAAGGCGTAAGCCTATTTCCCTCAAATACACTGACTGACTGACCTCATAAACTGCATTATTAAATGAACAGATACGATTCTATTTGAAAGGATATTTGAGAGCTCTAAGAATCGGATAATTATAAACTTTACTTCAAACCGAAAAATACACTTCACGCAGGAGTTACACTTGGACTGCATGATTTTCTACCCAACGTGTACAATAAATCATATTGTTGTGCACTTTTATCACAAACGACATTTTATTTTACGAAGACAGTGAAAACAAATGAAAACCCCACTGCTTAGGCAGCAACTTTTACCGAGTATCGTTATTTAGGCGGCCGGATGGGAGCGCATTCGGTGGCCGGCATCATGGCGTAACTGAAGCATCATGGAATTATGCTTCACGATAATGAGTAGTATTTAATTTTTTTCTAATCAAAAACACATCCAGACATACGTCACCAATTGTACAGTCTCAGCGGTGTGGGAACCGTTGAGTCCGGCTTTAACGAGATCAAACATCACACAGCAGGTGCTCTAACTCATGAAACATTTGTAGTGATTTTGAAATGTGATTCCAAACAGAAGAGCATACTTAGGTGGTGGTTGTAGTATTAAACGGTAGGCGACACAATTCCAGGG